CCTTAAAAACATTCAGTGAGGTAGCTACAACCGCTTCACTGGGCAGGGAATTCCACAGATTCACAACCCTTTGGGTGAAGAAGTTCCTCCTGACCTCAGTCCTACATCTGCTGCCCTTTATTTTGAGGCTATGCCCTCTAGTCCTAGTTTCACCTGCTAGCGGAAACAACCTCCCTGCCTCCACTTTATCTATTCCCTTCATAATATTATATGTTTCTATAAGATCTCCCCTCATTCTTCTGAATTCCAATGAGTATAATCCCAGTCTACTCAGTCTGTCCTCATAATCCAACCCTCTCAACTCTGGAAGCAACCGAGTGAATCTCCTCTGCACCCCCTCCAGTGCTAGTATATCTCTTCTCAAGTAAGGAGACCAAAACTGCACACAGTACTCCAGGAGTGGCCTCATCAGGACCCTATACAGCTGCAGCATAGCCTCCCTGTTTTTAAACTCCATCCCTCTAGCAATGGCAGACAAAATTCTTTTAATTACCTGCTGCACCTGCAATCCTATTTTTAGCGATAACACCTTTTATTTTGGTTTGACCACAGCATCCCATTAGTGGTGAACAACACTCATGTTGTTACAGCTTGGTATCAATGTGAAACAGTTAACTTTCCTTATTGATCAAACCTTGTCCTTTCAGGGTAACCTGAAGAAGAATTTTCAGTCCCAAGTGTGATGACCTTAGGCCTGATTGGTGCTTTCCCCGTGGCAATCTCTATCGATCTGAGGCAACCTTTCAACCAATCAGCACTCTCCTCTCATACTCATAAAAACAGGAGGTTGTCCATTTAAAATAGAGATGAGCTGAACTGTTTTCACTCAGAGGGTCATGAGTCTTTGAAATGGTTTTCCAGAAAAGACAGTGAGAACAGAGTAATTGAATATTTCTAAGGCAGGGATGGAACAGATTTTTGGTAAATAAAAGGGTGAAAGATTATTAGGGGTAGGGGGATCTGCGGAATTGAGGTTACAATAACATCAGCCACGATCTTAATAAATGGCAGAGCAGGCTGTGGGGCTGAATGGTCTTGCAATTTGTTTGTATGTTCATATATAAACGCTTTCCCTTTACATTGGTATTTTTGCCAAATGTCCTGATGTGTGCAAGATGAAAAGCCTCAACAAAATGTATCTTTTTTCAGTAATACTCAAATTATAACCATGAGGGATTTCAAACACAATAATAACTTTCTTTCACTTTTAATTTCTGTTCCTTTTATTCTTTCTTAAGTCTAACTTTCTCTGTCTCCTCATTTTCTGCACACAATTTTGATCTAGAATTAACAACTTCTATTCTTCCTGGTTCAGATTTTCTGTTCCTCATTAATGGTTCATTTGTCTGATGGGCACAGTCACAGTTTTGTTGTCCTGTTCACACTGCTCTCTGATTCTCTGTTGAAAGCTACAATGGCTCCTGATGGAGGTTCTGGTACAAAAACTCATAGAAAATTTATGGGCAGCCATTAGTGTAATGAAAGGCTGGTCATGCTTATTCACAACAAATCACAAAATCCAGGCTGATGTGTTGATTCTTCAAGAGAAAGGGGTTTGATGCATATGGCTAAGGTTTAGGTTAGGTAGGTGAGGACTAACCTTTGAGGGGGAGTTGGTATTTTGGGCCAAAAAGAACCATGTCCACATCTTACAGGTTCCCATTTCATGATTATAGAGACAAGGCAATTAATAGAGGATCACGTAAATCTATAGCTATAATAAGAGTAAAAGGGTCGCTAAGGAGAGAATAGGTCCCCTTAAAGAGCAGCATGGCTGTCTATGTGTGGAGCCACAGGAGATGCAGGAGATTTTTAATGAATATTTCTCCTTAGTGTTTGCTGAGGACAGAATCATGGATTCTAAGGAAATAAGGGAAACAAGTGGGGATGTTTTGGACTGTGTACACATTACCAGAGAGGAGGTGTTTGCAGCCTTAAAGCGCATTAAGGTGGGTAAATCCCCAGGGCCTGATCAAGTCCCCTTGTTTAAGAAGGATAGCAAGGATAATCCAGGTAATAATAGACCGGTGAGCCTGACGTCAGTGGTGGGGAAGCTACTGGAGAAGATACTGAGGGATAGGACCTATTTACATTTGGAAGAAAATGGGCTAATTAGTGATAGGCAGCATAGTTTTGTGCAGGGAAGGTCAAGTCCTACCAACTTGATAGAATTCTTTGAGGAAGTGACAAAGTTGATAGATGAGGGAAGGGCTGTAGATTTCAGAAACATGGACTTCAGTAAGGCGTTTGATAAGGTTCCCTATGGTAGGCTGGTGGAGAAAGTGAAGTCACATGGGGTCCAGGGTGTACTAGCTAGATGGATAGAGAACTGGCTGGGCAACAGGAGACAGAGGGTTGTAGTGGAAGGGAGTTTCTCAAAATGGAAAACTGTGACCAGTGGTGTTCCACAGGGATCCGTGTTCGGACCACTGCTGTTTGTGATATACATAAATGATCTGGAGGAAGGTATAGATGGTCTGATTAGCAAGTTTGCAGATGACACTAAGATTAGTGGAGTAGCAGATAGTGAAGGGGACTGTCAGAGAATGCAGCAGAATATAGATAGATTGGAGAGTTGGGCGGAGAAATAGCAGATGGAGTTCAATCCAGGCAAATGCGAGGTGATGCATTTTGGAAGATCCAATTCAAGAGCGAACTATACTGTAAATGGAAAAGCCTTGGGGAAAATTGATGCACAGAGGGATCTGGGTGTTCAGGTCTATTGTACATTGAAGGTGGCAATTCAAGTCGATAGAGTGGTCAAGAAGGCATACGGCAGGGTATTGAGTACAAGAGTTGGCAGGTCATGTTACAGTTGTATAGGACTTTGGTTCGACGACATTTGGAATACTGAGTACAGTTCTGGTCGCCACATTACCAAAAGGATGTGGATGCTTTGGAGAGTGTGTAGAGGAGGTTCACCAGGATGTTGCCTGGTGTGGAGGGTGCTAGCTATGAAGAGAGGTTGAGTATATTAGGATTATTTACATTAGAAAGACGGAGGTTGAGGGGGGACCTGATTGAGGTCTACCAAATTATGAGAGGTATAGACAGGGTGGATAGCAAGAAGCTTTTTCCCAGAGTGGGGGACTCAATTACTAGGGGTCACGATTTCAAGGTGAGAGGGGAAAAGTTTAAGGGAGATATGCGTGGAATGTTCTTTATGCAGAGGGTTGTGGGTGCCTGGAACGCGTTGCCAGCGGAGGTGATAGAGGCGGGCACGATAGCGTCATTTAAGATGTATCTAGACAGATACATGAATGGGCAGGGAGCAGAGGGAGATAGATCCTTGGAAAATAGGCGACAGGTTTAGATAGAGGATCTGGATCGGTGCAGGCTTGGAGGGCCGAAGGGCCTGTTCCTGTGCTGTAATTTTCTTTGTTCTTTGTTCTTAAGTCCATCCTTGGATGTTGTGGGAGACTAGAGAAGAAATTGCAGAGGCTCTTGCAGAGATTATTGCTTCATCTTTAGCCACTGGTAAAGTTTCAGAAGACTGGGAAGTGACTAACATTGTTCTACTGTTTAAGAAAGGTAGCCAAAGACAAGCCAGGGAACTACAGGCCAGTGAGCCTGACATCAGTGGTAGGCAAGTTATTGGAGATGATACTGAAGCACAGGATCAACCAACATTTGGATAGTCAAGGTCTGATTAGGGATAGTCAGCATGGATTTGTGCACGGGAAGTCATGTCTGACAAATCTTTTAGAGTTTTGTGAAGAGGTAGCCAAGAGGATGGATGAGGGTAGGGCAGTGGATGTTGTCTATATGGACTTTAGTGAGGCCATTGACAAGGTGCCACATGGCAGGCTAATCATGAAGGTTAGGTCACATGGGATCCAGCGAGAGCTAGCTAACTGGATTCAAAATTGGCTCGATGCTAGGAAACAGAGGGTGGTGGTTGAAGGTTGTTTCTCAGACTGAAGGCCTGTGACTTGTGGTGTGCCACAAGGGTCGGTGCTGAGACCTTTGTTATTTACAAAAATGATCTGGATGTGAATGTACAAGGCATGATTAGTAAGTTTGTGGATGATATAAAATTAGGATGATATAAAATTAATGAAGAAGGTTATCAAAAATTACAGAGGTGTCTTGATCAGATGAGGAAGTGGGCTGAGGATTGGAAAATGTAATTCAATACAGATAAGTGTGAGATGTTGCACTTTGGAAAGTCAAACCAAGGTAGGACTTATACAGTAAATGGTAAGGTCCTGAGGAGTGTTGTGGAACAGAGCGACCCAGGAATATAAGTACATGGTTTATTGAAAGCAGTGTCACGGGTGGACAGGGTGATGAAGAAGGCATTTAGCATGCTGGTGTTCATCAGTCAAGGCACCGAGTATAGGAGTTGGAATGTTATGTTACAGTTGTATAAGTCGCTGGTGAGGTTGGACTTGGAGTATTGTGTACAGTTTTGGTCACCCTGTTATAGGAAAGACATAGTTAAACTGGAAAGTGTGCAAAGAAGATTTACAAGGATGTTGCCAGGACTAGTAGGCATGAGTTATAGGGAGAGGTTGGCCAGGATAGGACTTTATTTCTTGGAATGTCGGAGAATGAGGGGTGACATTATTGGGGTGTATAAAATCATGATTGATGTAGATAGGATGAATGCATATAGTCTTTCTCCCAGGGACGGAGAATTGAAAACTAGATGGAATAAGTTTAAGATGAGAAGGGATAGATTTAAGAAGGACCTGAGGGGCAACTTCTTCATGCAGAGAGTGGTGTGTATATGGAATGGGCTGCCAGAGAAGGTGGTTGAGGCAGGTATAATAGCAACATTTAAAAAACATTTGGATAGGTACATGGATGGGAAGGGTTTAGAAGGATATGGACCAAATGCAGGCAATTGGAACTATCTGAGTGGGCACCATGGTCAGCATGGACCAGTTTGGGTTCAAGGGCCTGTTTCCATGCTGTATTACTCTATGACTCTATGACCAGTGACACAGTTGTCCCTGAATGTGAACAGTAACCATTAACACTTTCTGTTTTATCAGGAGATGCAGTGGTGGACGTTATGGAGCTCATTGGCGATCGTGGCCCTGATGGGAGCTGTGTGTCACGGGGAGAGAAGTGAGATTGCTGCTTTTCAATTTGTGTGGTGTCCTTTTGTTTAACATGTCCCCAGTGAGGAACTCACCTCTTTTATGGCACAGAAATTCTCCATCGGGAACAATGTCTCATGGGAACGGATAGGCCCAAATATCCAGCCAATTTTGGGTGTCGGACATGCAAGTTCAGCTGCTTGTTGGGCCTTTGCAGGGTGGTCAGTGTGTGAAGACCAGGTGGATTCTGAGCAACTGCATTGTTGGCAGTGATCAGGAGGGAGAGGTGCCTGAGGATAAGAGGTGACCAGGACAGACTTGGAGAGTGGGCTGTGGGGGTCGAAACTGGGGAAAGTACAATGATCATTCTCATCACATCAGATTTTTTAAACAAGCTCACTATTTTGCTGGTGATCCCTTGAAGGAATCACAGCATAATCCAATGTTAAATGTGTGATTAAGATATTGATGTCGGAATGTGTCTGGTTTGATGATTTTTGTGTCTTCTGTTGGTTTCAGGCAATCGCTGCTTTCTCAAACGAGGTCAAACCTGCTCTGATTGCATGAGAGCGGATAAAGACTGCGCCTATTGTGCTGACGAGGTAAATTCGTAAACCTCAGTACACCCCTGTCCCTCAGTCCCTGAGCACGTGCCGAACCCCCATCCCTGCCACATGCACACCCGAACAGTAAACTTCTGTTTTGAAACCCACAGACAAACCCAAATATAGACCCCAGATCCCACAATCCCCCTACACACCCACATCCAAACCTGAACTCTGATCCCCATCTTCAAACCCACATCCAAACCTGAACTCCGACCTAATCTTCGAACCTGAACTCCGGCCCCATCTCTAAACCTGAACTCCGGCCCCATCTCCAAACCCGCATCCAAACCCAAACACAAAGCCTCCTCCAGACCCCACAGACAAACTCAAGCACAGACCTCCTCCCCACAAAAAATCCAACATAGATCCTTCCCACCCAGCGATTCCCAACATCCCAACATTTACAATCAAACACTTGGGACAATGAACATCACTCAGTGATCCACAGAGCCCTGTAAGAAACCACATCTCATTGACTTAAAAGAACGTGTGTTATTCCCTGTGCAGTGATGAGCACACACTGTACAGTTCACTGAGCTCGACTGAACCTGGTGTCAGTGAATTTGAAAGAAGACCCTCTGAATGATTTCACATTGACTGACATTCCTCAGCTCTAGAGCAAGGTGCCTTGTTGCGTTGATCTCAAACAGTATGCTACAGGATTGATCTAGTGATTTACAATACACTGTGTCATAGTTAATAAAGCTGCAGACCACATTATGAACTATCACCAATCCGATAATCAAAGGAATGGTACAGTATTCCCAGAAACAAAAACAAAGTTGCTGGAAAAGCTCAACAGGTCTGGCAGCATCTGTGAAGGAGAAAATAGAGTTAACATTTCGGGTCCGGTGACCCTTCCTCAGAACTCAGAA